ATTAGCTTTCATCCTTCCCCTAACAGGGAAGCAAATTTGCTGGAATTGATGAATGTGTCTTTTAACTACTATAGAGTTATTTGTATTACTAAAAGAGACAATTTCTATGATGTCAAGGTAAGGAATTCAGTTGGAAACAACAAAGAGGAGGATTATATAATTTTAGGAAGGCCAAGATACCTTGGTGGATGCAGGGAGTGACTATTGAAAGTAGAAAGCAAAATAGACAAAAAAGTAGCAGCATGTGATTGGAGAATGCAGTTACCAAGACTTGATTTTATTCCCAGAATGGAAGCACTCTTAGGAGTAAAGCTGTCGATCAATTACCAAAATGTAAAGAAATAAAAGGCAGTATAACACACATCAATAGCAGCTTTTTTCATAATCAGAGAATAGAAAGGATGGATGGTTACTGGTTATCTTTTTTAGTCACCTGCACATTGTTGGGTATCTGCCATGGTCATGATTTTATCACCATGATTTTATTTTTTAGTCTTCTTTCCAGGCTTTCAGGTTTTATTCACTCCACAAACATTCCCTCCAGATTTGTATCTTAGCCCTTTTCTCACTTTATTTTTCCTACTTAAGGGTTTCAACTATCACATAAATGCATCCAGTTCTCTGCTTCCAGCTTTGAGTTCCTTTTTAGTAAGCTCCAGACCCAAACATATGTAGCCACTATTAGCCACTGCCATCTAGATGTCACACGGATAAGTTCAACTCATATGACAGGATCTAAATTCATTACTTGTCCCCCAAATCTGTTCCTCCTCTGCTATTTCATATCTTGATTAATAGCACTGACACTTGTCCAATCAGGAAAGCCAGAGATCTGGGAATTATCAGAGATACAGAGATGGATATGGCACAATTTGCCCTCAATAAACAGTCAAACTCATAGAATGCCTATATGTAAACCTCTCTTTTTAAAACCAATAATAAATTCTCTTATAGAACTTATAATTCTACTTTTTGATAAGAATAGGAATTTTTACTTATAAACTTTTTTGGATTAAACTGAAATCCTTTGAAGCTATGCTGAGGAGGGCATATATCACATTCATTACCATGTCCTCCCCAGACTGCTGACATATTGCATTGAATACAGCTGATGTTCAACAAGTAGGTGTTGAATATATGCATGAATAAATGACTATAAAACAATAAAGGAAGCTAAAAGTAACACTGAAGTAGTCACAAATAAATAACTATATAAGGGTATATGAGGGGAAATTATTTCAACTGGAAAGAATAGGGAACATTTTGTGAAGGTGTAGAATTTCATCTGTTCTAAAGGAGAAAAAGATGATGTTCCAGGCAGAAGGATGTTCCAGGTGAGGAAAAAGAGGAGAAAATAATAGAATATGTATAAAAGTAAAATTATTTATTCAGACAATAAAGTATTCAAAATATACAGAAAGTGAATAGGGTCTCATTAGAAATGAGAGACCTTACTACAGATAAATAGATAAATATATTCTTTTAAACTGGAAGATATACTTATTAATGTAAAATTGTTAATATAATTCTTTTAATCCTTTTTACCATGGAAAAGTACAATCATAGAGAGAATATACAATGATCCCTTTACCTGTATCTGGTGTCAAAAGTACCAGTTCAAGCTATGTCTTATTTCATCTATACCTACTCACTTCATCCCGATATTATTTCAAAACAGATCACAGACATTATACAATTCAATTCATAGATATTTCTGTGTATACCTCTAAATGACAAGATCCCTTCTGCAAACATAACCATTATCATAATTTAAAAAGTAATAGTAATCCATCGATGTCATCAACATTCTGTCTGTGTTTATATTTCCCTGACTTTCTCCTAACTTGTTTTACAACTTTTTTTGAATAAACCATGATCCACTTAATGTCCATACATTGCAATTGGTTGTTATGTATCTTAAATCAGTCTTTTCCACCTCCCCTTCCTTTCCTGTCTTCTTTTCTTGTATTGATTACAGAATAAAGCACATATGAAAAACACTCAAAACATATGTATGAGTTAATGAATTAGTATAAAGCAAATACTTTTATAATCACCACTCAGGTCCAGTAATAGAACATTGACAGTTTTGAAAGTGCTCACATGCTCAATGTCAACTGGACTTTCTTTACTACCTCCGAAAGTAGCAACTATCTGTTTTTGCATAGTGAAATCACTCCTTGTCTTCATTTACAATTTTATTATTCATATGTGTATCCTTAGATACTATAGTCTTAATCACTAAAGCATTTCAAATGTATTTTGTTTCTTTTAATCTGTTCATTCCCACTCTATGCTTCTTTTTTGGCAATTTATTTGTTGACCAACATAAAACATTTGGCCTATAGCGTTTCTCACTATTTAGATTTTGCTGACTGCAAACTCATGGTGCAGATCAATACATCCTTCTGTTCTCTATATTTCCTGAGAAATGGCAGCAGGAGCCAAAGGTTTCATCAGACTCAGATTTAACCCATTTGGCACAAATACAGGTTATACTGTATTCTTTCATTAAAAGGAGTATGGCTGTTTCTCTTCTTATGGTAGTAGCACTCATTGATGTATAATGCTTAGATTTAGTAAGTCATTGGGGTTTGCAAAGTGATTATATACTTTTATAAAAATATACTTCCCTGCATCATTTCATTACTCAGTGTACATTTCTTACAGAAAAAGCAGAATAAAATCTTGATTTTTTTCCTTTTTATTTACCAGTTTTCAAGGTAATGCTTTTATTTCCTTAACATCCAAATGCAGCCATATTTTGAAATATCACTATAAATTTATGGATTTTAAACTTAATTCATGAGATGCAACTTGTTAATATCCTTCAGTTCAGTTCAGTTCAGTCGCTCAGTCGTGCCTGACTCTTTGCAACCCCATGAGTCACAGCACGCCAGGCCTCCCTGTCCATCACCAACTCCCGGAGTTTACCCAAACTCATGTCCATCGAATTGGTGATGCCATCCAGCCATCCCATCCTCTGTCGTCCCCTTCTCTTCCTGCCCCCAATCCCTCCCAGAATCATATCCATACTAAAGTTCAAATTACTCCACCTTTGGCCAATGAAAAACTCTTAAATTTGGCTCCCTAAGTCACTTCATTAATGACTTAAACAGAGACAGATACTAAATTTTCAACTAGGATTATAGAATTTCCTGTTTCTTCTTTTAAATTTTTCAGTTTTTCCTTTGTATATTTTGAAACACTGTTACCAAGCACATTTTTTTTTATTATTTTATGCCTTCTTGATGAGTTCACCCTTTTATTATTCTAAAAAGTCTGCTAAAAAAAAAACCTCTTCTTTATATCTCATAATATCAATCATCTTACAGTTTACATGATATTGGTATATCCATTCTAACCTTTTTATTTTTATTAATCACTTTTTGATCAAAATTTTCTATCTTCCACTTTTTTTAATCTTCAGGTATTATTTGTTGTGTTCATTTTCTGTTATGTTCCTTTTAGTTTAGCATTATTTTTGAAATTATTTTTTTCTAAGCTTTTATGGAGTTATATAATTTCTGGAAGTTTTTATTCTTATTTGTTATTCTTTCTTATCTTTCATCACTTCTTAATGTCTTATTGCCAATTTTTGAAACAAGTTACAAACATGTCCTTCCTGCATGCATTAATTTTTTTCTATAGAAATGTTATTCTGCTTCTTATTCTTTTTTTCTTATAGCTTTGAAAAGGATTTTACCTTGATCCTTCTTTTTGTAAAGACTTTTTATGTGGACCATGTTTAAAGTCTTTATTGAATTTGTTACAGTATTGTTTCAGTTTTATGTTTTGATTTTTTGGACATAGGCCATGTGGGATCTTAGCTCCCCAACCAGGGATGGAACCTTCGCCTCTTGCTCTGGAAGGCAAAGTCTTAACCACTGAACTGCCAGAGCAGTTTCTTGATTATTCTTGTTACTCATTATTATGTAAAACTAGTTTTTCCTGAGCTTTAGGATTTAGTTGAAGTTTTCAACTTCACAGAGATCTTTCTTCAAAACTATGCTCTTGAGATTTCTTGATTCTGTTCTGCTCTTCCATTCTCAGGCAGTTCTCTCTCCATCCTCGACATTGCCCTGACCCTGTTTATTTTGATCTTACTCCCAGCAATTTTTCCTCAGTGTGAGTGGTTGTTTTACCGAGTTCTGAAGCACAAAAACTATTTCAATTCCTTCAGAATGTCTAGCTACAGGCTTTTCAGACCTACCCTCTATAGAGGGCAAACCCCCTCCCAATTTCCCAACTGCTATTCTCAAATTCATCCACTGGCCTTTTTGGGATTCTCATGTTCTAGAGCTTACCAGGTACCATATTATTTCCATCTTCATCTGCTTCCTTCTCTATAGATGCTGAATCTATATGGGTCATATTAGTGATTATATCACTTGCTTTATTGAAAGTGATTCTTAAGTATAACTTGTTATTGAGTTTTGTTTTAAATGTTGTTCAGGAGTTTGGGGATTTGGCTCAGGCGGACATTTGAAGAGATAAGAAAACTATGCTGCTGCCACAAATGCCATCTCCCAATACTTTCATTTTTGATTAAATATTTTCCTAAGGTTTCAGATTTCAAATAGATCACAGATCGAATATGCCCACAAAGGAGAGCAACCATGAAAACACATTCAAGTATTAAATTCAGTACTGATTAACTAAAGAGTAGAAATTCACCAGAGGAATTTCTGCTGAAGCTTCTGACTTCACTCAGCAGTGAGTATAAGTTGGCAATATTTCTCAAATTGTATTTCATAAGAAGTTAATAGAAATAAGATAGTTCTGGCAGCCCAGAGATTATAAGTCAAGACATGGTGAGTTGAGGTAAAGTCTCCACCACTTCCTTTAAAATGTGACAAAGTGAGGAAGCAGTAAAAAAATTTGTGTAAAGTTATTAAGGAAGAAATTGCGATGAGAAAAATCTCAGTTTCTATATTAATTCAATTCAACAAATAGTCATTATTGTTTTAGAGACGGTAAATGACCTCTGGTTTGCTTACCATATACCAAGTGATGTTTGGTTTGATATTAGAAGGAAAAAATCCATCTATGTTTGGACAAGAGATCTTCTGAACACCATATTCTAAATATAGCTTATGCACTGGAAGTTTCATGGGAGAATTGAAGCAGTTATCTTTTTGAACCACTTCCAGAGGAAATGCAACTTTGCTGCAATAGGTAGTATTCCTGAAAAGAAAAATATGCAGTGAATGGGCAGTTCCATTTGTTTTCATGCTGCAAACACATTGAAATGAGTGAAGTGAACTACTCCTATGTACTGAGACTTTATATGTTAAGTTCATGTAACAATTAAATGTGTTATGGAGGTATTTCCTAGAACAACTGACATAACAAAATAAAGACAGACACAATTAACTACTATTGATAAACTACTTACATTTTTAGATTTACTCCTAAATACACATATGTGTGTGTATATGTATTTATGGGCTTCCCTTGTGGCTCAGCTGGGAAGGAATCTACCTGCAGTGCTGGAGACCTGGGTCCCATCCCCGGATTGGGAAGATCCCTTGGAGAAGGGAAAGGCTACCCACTCCAGTATTCTAGGCTAGAGAATTCCATGCACTGTGTAGTTCAAGGAGTCACAAAGAGTTGGACACGACTGAGCACCTTTCACTTTCATATGTGTGTGTGTGTGTGTGTGTGTGTGTGTGTATACATATATATATATATATATATGTATGAATGTATATATACATATATATCTGCTGTTCCGTCACTCAGTCGTGTCTGACTCTTTGTGACCCCTATGGACTGGAGAACTCCAGGCTTGCCTGTCCTTCACCATCTCCCAGAGCTTGTTCAAACTCATGTCCATTGATTCGGTGCAGTCATCCAACCACCTTGTCCTCTGTCGTCCCCTTCTTCTCCTGCCCACTGCCTTCAGTCTTTCATGCTCAGTTGTGTCCAACTCTTTGTGACCCCATGGATCACAGCTCACAAGGCTTCTTGGTCCACAAGATTTTTCTAGGCAAGAATACAGGAGTAGGTTGCTCCCCCTCCTCCTCCAGGGGATTTTTCCCAACCCAGGGGTCAAACCTGCATCTCCTGTGTTTCCTGCATTGGCAGGTGGATTCTTTACCACTGAGTCACCTGGGATATAAAATGTTTAATTTTACCCTTAAAACACTCTTAATAACACTAGTACTGGAAAGGCAAAGGTAAGAACAGCATATTAACTCATGGTTGATAATGGTATAAACGAGTTTTGGAAAAAAAATGTTTCCTAAAGTATTTTTAAAAGCCTTAATCTTTGCCCTAGTCAGCCTATTTCTGAAGATTTTTTCACATGACAGAAATAGGAAAAGTGAGAAAAGAGGGAGCACATGATCAAAAATGCCATCCTTTGCTGTGTCAGCAAGGAAGATATTAGAATCACTAGAAACACATATGAAAAGGAAGCCTGTAAAAAAACCATGGGACAACCATCCAAAGTTGTTGTACACACATATATATAAAAAAATCAAGCATGAAGGGAAAAACTAACAAATGCATAAAATGTGTTAAGATGGCTGGGGAACTGTATTTATGTCTTTAATGTTTATATAAGTCATTTCATCTGCCTGGAGGGTTCTTCTTCTCCCATCACCCTACCTCTCACTCAGAGGTTTATATCACCCTACCTTTCAGTTAAGACTTTTATCCTCTCAGCATGTCGGACAATTCTTTGGTTGAATTTATTACATGGCATGGCCATGTGTGTTTTCTTTTATTTCTTGCATCTAGCACAACACCTAAATTTTCAGTTGGCAATGAATAAATATTTGTTAGCTACATGGGATAGATATAAAATTGTATTACATATAGGAAAACAATGAAAAGGACATAGATAATAACAATAAGTGATTTTTTAGGGTGATATGTAAATGGGTCATTAATTGTTCACCCTGTTTTGTGATTTCTCTCAATATTTAAAACATCTTATATACTCAGTAACTCATGAACTAAGACTAACCCCAAGGGAAGGTATGGGAGAATTTATTACCCTTCCCAAGATGGGAGGAAAGAGCATTTAAAGATGACTTATGACAATGGTAATAAGGTGGAAAGGGTGAGTGGCAAGCATGATCTTTGCCTATAAATAACAAAAGGTCTTCCAAGAAGAAAAAGTGTTCCATAGGTGGATATTACAGAAGGCAAACTTCAGCTTAATAAGATCCATTTTCTGACTATAAAAATAAAGTGATGAACAATGGTTAGACTAACTTTTCCAGCTTCATAAGTCAAATATGAACATTATCTTAGTAGAGGTATTGAAGCAAGAATGCAAGCAGTAAAATCCTAGAGGATGAACCTGAGCTTTATGGTATTAATGACATCAAGCCTATGATTTCACATGGTTCAGGTTAAGGTCATTCTCAGTTTAAGAATCACCACAGGATTACAGGAGACTTTTGATGCCCCCACCAGATAAATTCAATTCAAATTTTCTTTAGAGATGTAGAAGACAGGCACAAGGTGAATTGAAGAGATGGAAATCTGGAAACTGATAAATAACAGTAAAGATATACTCACACATTGAGGATCATGAGCCCTGCTCCTATAGTGAAAAGAAGGCTGAAAACATTTGAGAGAGAGCTCTAGAGAAGTAGTAGGTTGGTAAGGAAAAAGAAATAGAGGTACTGAAACACAAGAATGCATAGCAGAGACAAGGTCAGCCAGAAAGCGACTGACAACCTGTTCCCAGGTATTTGCTGAGGTCCATGTATGGAATGTTACTAGATTATTAATTATCAAAGATAATAAGGGGTTCAAAGAACATTTAGGCCAACTTTTTTCATTTTGTGGGTATAGATACCAAAGCTGTGTTAGAACATAAATAATGGGCACATGAGCTCCTTGGAAGTCTAAACCCCAGTCTAGAGTTCAATCCAATAAAATGAAACAGAAGGGGTGAAAGCCTCAATGGACTTAACAAGAGACTTCCAAGGTCACATTGATTAACATGTGGGGTTTTTTGTGATAAAGAAGTGCTTTTTCACTAAATCACAACATTGGCTAAATTTATCAAAATATAATTATGGTTTTCCATCACAGAACAGTTAACATTCATGAGAGACAAAGAGCATTCAAAAGGTGTGGGATTACCTATTCTTCTGTTATTGTTATGTCATCCAGCTCTACTATTATGGGCTAGGTTGTGTCCTCCACCCCAAATTCATATGTTGAAGTTCAATACTTCAGAATGAGACTGTATTTGGAGATAGGTCTTGAGATTAAGTCAAAGAAAGCTGATATGTGTGGACCCTAATCCAATATAACTGATGCTCTTAAAAGAAGAGAGGACTGGGACACAGAAGACATGGGGGGGAAAGATGCTAAGACCTGGAGAAAAGATGTCCCTCTACAAGCCAAGCAGAGATGAATGAAACAACCATGCTGTCACCTTGATCTGGGAATTCTAGCCTCTAGAACTATAAGAAATCATATTTCCATTGTTCAAGCCACCAATCTGCAGTATTTTGTAATGGGAGCCCTAGAAAAATCAATATACTTATTAAATGGTAGGAAACAATGTTTTAAAATATCCATAACCTAGATGGGAGTTTAAAAAACAAAGTAAAGCCTGAAAGCTAAAAGGGGACCTCAGGGAGTCAAAAACTAGGCCTTAAAATGGTTAATTTTCAGAGGAACCTCATTTTTTTCAAGATTTTTTTTCAGAGAAAAAACAGTATTAATCTGTTGTAAAAGAAAACTTGGTATACTATGAAGTAAAATGCAGAATCTACATGAAACTTCAGAAGAAGAAAAAGTGGGTTTGTAATAAAGTTTGCAGTAATGGTAGAATGCTTTAGATTATATTCTTAGATTCCCAGAGATCTGGTGTTCATTTGCTTTATACGGAAACTTTGGTGAAAAGTTTGAAAAGCATTGTTTTAAGTGCATTTGATGCTTGTCAAATATTCTTTCATCTATATGGCACACCGAGGCTTTTGTTCACTTGTGTCCAGTTCTTTGTGACCCCATGGACTATGCAGTCCATGGAATTCCCCAGGCCAGAATACTGGAGTGGGTAACTGTTCCCTTCTCTAGAGGATCTTCCCAAACCAGGGATCGAACCCAGGTCTCCCCTATTGCAGGCAGATTCTTTACCAGCTGAGCCATCAAAGAAACCCTTTACTCTGTGCTAGGCACTTAAAAAACTGCCAAGAATAACAGACATGAATGCGTTCTACTGCCAGCCCTGCTCACTGTCTAGGGAAACAGATACATCTCCAAGTGACTCAGATGGAGGTAGATTCCAGTGTCAGGGAAAAGGAACATATGAATAAACCTCCATCTCTAGACAACTCTGATGTATGTCTGGTTTGAAAAGGAACCACCAATGGAGAATGTTCTCAGAAGCTCAACCTTTTTCTCTGCTCATCTCTTTCAGCCAATCTCAGCTAAGCCAATGAGGTGAAGAGTAACTCTTTCTGGATAAATGCGTCCTTCTCCTCCCCAGCTTCACATCCTTTGGGTAAGGGTTCGGGAACAAAGCAAAAAGGGAAAGACACCACAAGGGTCAGCCTACCTCAGCATGCAGGTATAGTTTCCCGTGTCGTTGAGAAGCGTGGGCCGGAACCAGAGCAGGTCTTTCTCCTTACTAATGCGGTTCTCAGGGAGGCGGAAGTTAATCGGCTCCTCCAGGTCCCGGTCCTGCCTTGTCCAATACCAGATGAGAGTAAGGCCTGCTGAATGGGCTGTGCTGTAGTTGTATTTCAAGAAGTGTTCAAAGAGTGGGCACTTGATACGAGCCGGTTCATCCTCATACACTTGGATCTGCCTCATGGTATCTAGCCCCCAGTCATCGCAGCGTTCTGGAATAAACAAAACGAAAGAAAAGGCAGCTGAATCATCTCACCTCCAAAGAACATACCTTCTCCTTAGGATAGCCCCAACCTTTTTCAGGACACTTCTCTTGTCATATTAATTAGCCTTTTTCTAATAAATGCTTCTAATAGACAGCTGTGCTGTGAAGAGATGACTTCCTCTCATTCCTTCATCTTTTGACTATCATAACAGTGTGATCTGATAGTTTGATCCTGTTGAACCCAACAAGGTATGAGGGAGAATCTCACCTGGACAAGAAAATCAAGTGCTCTTTCACTCCTCTGGGGACAAAGGCAATTCTAAGGATAAGATCATAACTGAAAAGAGAAGCCTCCTAGTTCTCCCCTGGTCTCCGAATTTGGGGGCTAGATCTTCACTGTCCAATAGCAGTAAAATGCCTGCCACATATTTAATTTTAGATGTCTTGATTGCCACATTAAAGAAATAAAAAGAAGCAGGTAAAATTAATTTTAATATTTTATTAAACTTGATACATCTAAAACCACAAATATTAATATTTTATACTTACATTCTTTTTTGTAATAAATCTTCAAAATTCAATATACTTTACACTTGTTGTACATATCAGACTGACTACAATACATGGGAAAGCTTTCTAGTAAAAAGGAGATACATACGGTAGAGCTTAGACACCCTGCTGGTAGCTACACCCTGCAGAAGCAGAACTGTCAGACCTTTTCACAGCTGATCAAAGATGCAAGAGCAGGGCCAGCTTGCATCAGTTGAGTTGAGCTTATCTTACTAGAACTTCCCAGACAACTTACAGACTTATGAGCAATAATACATGAGTAATAAATTAAAAGAGGTTTGTGATCATTTGTTAGGCAACATCTTGGGGGTAACAGATAGCTAATAAAACAACTAACAGTGACTAATGTTGATAAAAGCAAAGATTTGAAGATTTATGACATGCAAAATGTTTGGTAAGTTAATGATAAATCTCTAAATAAATAATAGATCTCCGGGAAATTTAACAAACTGACTTTTCTAAGACTCAACAAATCAGTACTGTTTACAACTGTAATACTTCATTTAGAAACACCTTTTAAAATCCAGTATACAAAAAAAGAACTGGAAAGACCAAAATTTTGTTCACATTAAGACAAATTGATATTAAAATATTTTAATTAAACATATATCATAACCTTCTTTAAATATATTTCTATTCACACTGCAAAGTTGTAGAATTAGGCCATTTAGTTTATAGAAAATTTTAACCAGTTTTTTTCTTTTTTTTTTTTTCAGATAAGTAAGTCAGATTGAATGCATGCATCTAATTTCATCCCTTAATGAAACTTCACTAAAACTAATTTTTCAAGACATTATCCCAAGTAATAGCAATAATAAGAGAAAAGACAATAGCAATACCATAGCAGACAAAATGGTGACCAGTTTGGCCCATTTAAATGAAAAGTCCTAAATGAGGGGAAGAAAGCTGTAGAACAAACCAATCTGCAAAGTAGAATGCAAAAAACATCAGGAGGCGAAACTGTCAGTATCAAGATAAGTAATCACTACTACCTTAACACCTAATATTTCTGGGTTCTCTTCCTAGGCACATTGTAAGATTGTACTTTTATGTCCTTCTGAAATAAGAGGATGCCATGTGACTCACTTTTGCCAAAATGATGTACCAAGTGTCACCTATGGTGAGTGTTTTAACAGCCAGAGTATTTCACTAGACTTCCTTTTCTTCTGCCTTAGCAAATATGAAAACATAGACATTGAGACGCCTTTAGCTTATTTCCCTTGATATAGATGGCATATGGCAAAGCTTTACTATTTTAAGTCATAGAGAATTAGGATTGCTTATTACCAATATGAATAATCTATATTATCCTGGCAAATGCAATCACATACCTTAAAAATAAGCACATATATAAAATAGCAAAATAAGGAGAAGTGGATGAAGGCTATGTCAAAAAGTGACATTTTTTGTTCCAACCCCACTCTCCTAGCACTCGGCAACCTTTCTCACTGAGCTCCAAGGATTAGAACAGCCAGGAGAGTGTAAATAGTCTTTACACTCCAGGCAGGAGAATGAATGAATGTTCTCTAGGAAACCTGACTATTTCCAGAGAAAAGATCTAACAATCTTACTAAGAGAGAATTTTTTTAAACAACTTGTACAGCCATATCATTTAACATAAAAAGCTCAAGATGAACAAACCCCCCCCCCCCACACACACACTTAGAATTTCTAATCAGCTTCCTAATAGCTTCTTCTTAAATACAAACAGCCCTAGGAGACATCTGAGAAAAATCTCTACTATTAACAGTAACACCCGAAGAAACATTGTAAAAAAAATTGATAAAATCAAAATTATTCAAATAAAAGAAATCTTTGAAAACAAAGCTATCGTTAACATCCTCAGAGAGATAAAGAAACTTCTACATTCATCAAGCGAGAACAGGATGATACAACAAAGGAATATTCAGAGAAAAACAAAAAGCTCACTAAAATTAAAAACATGATTGAAGAGAGGTAAATTTTAATAAATGGCTTATTTGGAAGTTGAAATTGAGAATTTTCTAAAGAGTAGAATACAAAGAAAAATAAATAGAAAATAGACAAGAAAGTTAGAAGACTATCCAGGAGTCTTAACATCTCCATAATAGAATCCTCAAAAGAAAAAAAAAAAAGGAGAAAACTCTCAATTAAATAATTCAAAGCAAAAACAAATCTCAGAACTAAAGTACGTAACCTTCTAAATTAAAAAGAGCTGTCAATTGCTCCAGCACTGTGGATGAAAACAGACTTGCATCACAAAAATAATTTTTAAAACTGAAAAAAGAAAAGACTATATAAACTACTGGCAAGTAAGAAAAAGAAAAAAAAAGACACATACTAGGAAGACTAGGAATCAGAATGGCTTTACATTCTTTACACTCTCAAAAACAAGACTAGAAGCTAGAAGATAATGACTCAATGCATCTTACAGAAATGTATTATTAATCTTGAATCTTAAACCAACAAAAAAATCACATGTGAAAGTGACATTTTCAGACACATAAAGACTCAGTAATTTTTCTTCCTATACTGTTTTTCAAGAAGCTTCTGGGGAATTTGTGTCCAAAAAAATGAGAGAAAAAACAACAGAGGGAAAAATGAGATCAAGAACTAGGGGGATCCAACTAAAGAGAGAGAGGACGAGATTCCCAGGATAACAATGCAGAACATCCTAAGGAAAGCAGCTATACATTAGGGTTTGCTGGTAAATCAGTATAGATAGAAGAAAAATGGAGATCCCAATAAAGGAAAAAAAAAAACAAACCGTAACTGATGGGTCATCTGATTAGATTACCACAGTGAACAATTATGCTGAAGGGCAATTGAAAAGTATAAAAATAGTTACCAAAAGATACTAATTAGGGATTTCTGTGGTGGCCCAATGGTTAAGACTCCCTATTTCCATTGCAGGGGTTGCAGGTTCAATCCTTGGTCAGAGAACTAAGATCCCACATGATGAACTAAGATCCTGCATAATTTAAATTGATCCCACATCCTTTTTTAAATTGTTATTTTGGCGAGGGTTTTTTGCTTTGTTTTGTTTTCATGTGGACCATTTTTAAAGTCTTTATTGAACTTGTTACAATATTGTTTCTGTTTTATGTTTTGGACATTTGGCTGCAAGGCATGTGGGATCTTAGCCCCACACCAGGGACACAATCCACACCCAGTGCATTGGAAGGCAAAGTCTTAACCACTGGACTGCTGCAGAAGTTCCAGCCTGAAGAAGTCTTTATGACCCTGAACAGTAATTAATAGCAAGACAGATGATAAGTGACAGGTGGATTTTTTTTTTATTTTGTAAAGATAAGAGAATGTTAATTGTGAAAGGGAAATGGAAAAAGAGACATCAAACCCAGAAACATGTACTCAGGCAGACGAATTTAGAACAAAGCTTGAAATGGAATTTTGGTGTTCACTGGGGCAGACTGTGGCAGAGTCTGGGTAAATGTTCATTAGTTCTGTTTTCTCTTCTTGGCCGTATGAAACCTGCACATCCTTGACAATTGGGTTGGGACCATGTGACTTGGTTCTGGCCAATGAGGGACCAGAAACACTGTACAACTTGAAACTCCCAGCATAATCTTTGTTGCTTTCTCTTCCCCTTCCATGGAGTCCTTGAAGACCAGAAATTTGTGAAAAGGGCATCATGACAACATGTAAGGAGCCTGGATTCCTGCCATCAGTCAAAGCAGAGCTTCTCAGGAAAACTTCTTTGAAAGCTTCTCACTTTCGAAGAATTAAGCCAAATCTCTATCAATTAAGCCACTGAGATGTAGGACATTAATTTGTTATAGCAACTAGTATTGACTTATAAAGGAAGCCAGAATTTTTCTTTCATAATATAATAACAAATCAAGAGCAAACAGACTTATTTTAAAACAGCATATGTTAAAGGCCCTTACATACTAATATTTAAACACAGGTTAACAAAAATTTCTGGTTTATTCACTGAATATCTTTTCAACCAAATTAAATACAATACAGTGTCAAGGGGAAAAGAAATCTTATACCTGCAATGTATCTCCCTTACAGAATATTTCATGGGTCAAATGAGTATATCTATAGAGTGAATCAGACTCCTTTACAATAGGGACCAAAGACACACATTTTAGTATTTGTAAGCATTAGTAAAAATGGTATTATTATTGAGTTTTTTCTCTGGGGCATTTACCCATTAGAAATTAGTTCTGTGAGTTCTTTAACTTTCCCTAGCCAGCCACCTGAGGGAACTTTGTCAGAGATTTTTAAATTATTCAATGAACAAATAAAACTAAAATCTATGACAATGGGCTGAAGTGTCATGCAATACCAAATTAATTATATGACTCACTGCAGGCACCAGGCAAAGAAGATACTGGGGAAATGGCTGTTATGCAAATAGATGTACCTCTAATAACAGCAAAGGGAATTTAACGAATTACTGGCACAGAGAATTACTTTTTTGTTTAAAAT